AGCGTTCTACTTCACATAATAGCACATATCACCTGTCTCTTTGTCAATGACACTTTTAAAAGCATCTTTTATTAGAAACACAAATCAATACACTCAAAGGGCTGCAATAACTACCTTTAGGCAATTCGTATTATCATTTCCTTCTTTATATTCTGACTCTAAGTAACTTATTACTATGAATGGCATGAAAATGGCAACCTGTCACAATTGATTTTTTTAGTCTAAGTTTTTTTAAAATATATAATTATCTTCTTACTAAATAAAGGTCTAGTTTATAAAAGGAAATCTCAAGTTTCAGTTCATGATAACTGAGATGTCTTTTTAATAGCTCTTAGGAAGGTTACTGCTTAAGGTTAGTGGTTATTTGCATAGTTTTGAATGAAAAACTCCCAGAGATTAGAGATGTTCTTTATCAACAATTAAATCATCATAATAAAGTTCTGACTATAGGAGAGACTGTTACAAGCTCAGGGATCAGAAATTCCAGAGAATTATATGATATCCTAAGTTCTATTATGAGTTTACTGAAGTATTCCCTGGTAGAGACATAGAGACATTTATTTATAAAACTAAAGTTTAACACAAAATGATGCAAGGATAGAAGTCTAGAGATGCTAATTCTGTATTGCCCGTCCTGCTGCATAGCTATCTCTTTAACCAAGGTAATTCCTCAATGCAAAGGAATTTGAGGACTGCGTCCTGGATAACTGCCGGTACTAAGCTGTTGGAATGGACTGACCTACATTGTCTTTGTGGAAACTACAGACAACGTTGTTCATTAGAAAATCAGGGACTATTATTCAATCCACTTATGTACTCCCAGAAAAAATAATTTTATTTTCTGAGATACCTTTTTGTTCTGGATTTCCAGGTAGCAGATTCCAGGACAAGGAAAAATAACAGCTGTATTACTGCTGAACTAGCTGAGCTGACAAATATTACCAATGCTCTGCTGAGAAAATTAGATACCATTGCAATAGTCTCTATAAAAGGCTGTCCTTCTAGAATCTAGAGCTCAGTTTAAAAGAAAACATGGCAAATAGCCTGCTAGTCTATGCAGATACAGTGATCCTATCACACCTCTATTTAAAGACCTATATTGGTTGCTAATTCTTTCCCAAGTTCAATATCATGTGTTTGGATTTTTCATTTAAAACTATAAAAAGCTGAAGGCTATCTCATACATAGATCATTAAAAACCTGCTTAGACATTAATATATGAAGAAGATGCCATTCTGAAGATACCATCATTCACAGAGTCCTGTTTGATGGACATTTTGTTTTTATTGTTCCTAAGTTGTGAAAAACATCTCATTTGGAATTCTATTCTCTCTGTTTTGGAATAGATATCAAGACTTCAGCTTAAGTTTTTGAATAATTTTAATTACATTTTTACAATTTATTATCTTAACCATGCTTTTCACTACCAAATGGTTATATTATTTTCTGTTTTTTTCTTTGCAACTGAGTGGCTCTTTCAAGTGCTTTGCACATTGCCACTATATAGCTTATTTAATAGAATATTTTATACTACAGTTTTATTGTTGTACACAATGTTAATATGTTGAATATAACAGGTGATATATATTTTATAAAGTACAGTATCTACCACCAACTACAGGTAGTCCTCATTTAGTGACTGCCTCATTTAGCGACTGTTCGCAGTTAAGATCATGATGAAAAAGTAACTTTATGACCAATCCTCGCATTTACGACTTTGCAGGTCTCTAAAGAAAAGCTGAAGTAAGATCATAAGTACAGTCACAGTTTCACTTAGCAACTGATTCACTTAACAACCAAGTTCCCAGTCCCAATTGTGGTTGCTAAACAAGGATTACCTGTAGATCAAAGAGATCTAGAGTTTGCTGTGTATATTAATATGCAATCAGATTTCAGGGCCAGCACTATGGGCTTTTGAAAGAGGATGCAACATTATTTGCGACCTAGGGAGTCCAGGAGATGAAGAAACCTGTCCTTTGACAAGGGAACTAGGAAAATATTTTTTTGCCATGCAAAGTTGACAAGTGGAGTCAGGAAGTAAAAATACAGCTCACTGGAAGTACTGCAGAGCCAGTAGAAGATAGCAGCATGAGCAACCTTATCAATATTTTGCTCAGATTTGAAATATGTAAATACAGAGCTAGGCTGAAATGGACATCATCAGTGCAACAAGGCAAAATACAAAACCCATTAAGCCAAAGGGATTTTTAAATGTTTATTTTAAAATATTTTTATGCTGTGCTTTCTTATTTTTGCTTTTAGGATGCATAACAATTCATAACAAATGAAACTTTCAAATCCAAATACACACATTAAAACAACCAAATAAAAGCACACGGCAACAGAATTTAGCAGAAAAAGGATTCAAGTGTAGCCAGATGAGCCTTGTTGACTAGAACCTTCCAAAGATGAACCATAATGATTGAAAAGTCTCTGTTTCTACTTACACCATGTCACATTTCACAAGGCAAGGACAAGGGCTTCCAAAGATTACTTCAGGTTTATGTATGAAAATGATATCTCCCCTCACCTTCTTAATTCAGAATAAAGGCAACAGACCTTTTTTGTCAATAACACTGAAACATTTTATCATGTTTTCATTATAAAATTCTAATGATTAGCCACTTTTCCATCAAAGATATCCAAGACAATATATATAAACTTAATTGTAATAAAAATAGCATATAAACTCAGAAAAAGTCTTAAAATAGTCAGATCACTATGGCCAAATCATATTAAATCTAGGAAGGACCATAGCCAGTGCAACTTCTTAAGCTAATGACTGAAGATACTTGGACAACCAAAGTAAAATTCAGATGCACAAACAGTCCCAGAATGCTGGCTTGTTTTTTTAAGTGGAAAGGCCGTGTCATACAGATTAGGTTGGACATAATATTTCAAAGCTCTCCTGTGGAATGGGCTTCAGTTTATCCAACCTTACCCTACTTTCTACTGACACCAGGTAGATCTGTACCACCCACCTGGCTCTGATATACTGTAAGAAAAGACAGCTCAGTAACACCAGAACACTAATAATACTTCACTCCAAATCTCTAGAAGATATCATCAGTTTTATCTAAATGTTATAAAATGTAAAACGCAGAACTTTGCAAAGTACCATGGCATAACTGTCATAGTGATGAACCACAGAACCCTAATTCCCAATCCTCCTGACTTATTTCAAAAGCATACTTTTGCTATTGGCAATAACTGCTATGAGAGGTTCAAATTTAGTAGCAATCTGAACCCTTTATTTCAATCTCAGTCCCAGCTGAGAGAGATCATGACAGTTCTGTGCTGAAGAACAAGTTAGGGATACATCGTCATGGAGAAAATCTATCAATGTGGTCGCTAGGAGTTGAAACGACTTGATGGAACATATTCAACCAAAATACTGTATTTTTCCATCTATAAGACGTCCCCATGTAGAAGACGACCCCCACTTTTCCAACCCAAAATTAAGAAATCAATATGTTAA